GAAAATTTTTTTTTTCATGAATCATTTACCATGAAAATATGAAAAACTTCCCTTTCAAGACAATTTATAGATAAAGTTTGTTGCAAAAAAACAAATTTAAAAGGAAGAACCTTTTTGAACCTTTTTACCCTCCAGCCCCATGGTCATTATAATACTCAATTTTTAGTCTTTGTGGCAGCAAAAATGAGAACTCTTTAATCACATGAAATCATATTTAAATTTCCGAGATAATTATCATTATTTACTATCATATTAATATTATTTTTTGTTCTTAAAAAGATTTTTCATTGAAAATGTTGCACTTGAATTTGAAATAAACTGAGATATCAAACATCAAATTAAAAAAGTGGGCATTTTTTTGAGTCAGATAAGAACATTTGAATTTAATAAATTAACCTGAGTTTAAAATAAATATTTAAAAGTTTTCAGAGAAGGGTCATTGATAATATTGACAATAAAAAAATTGATCCCATTAGCAGCACCTTTGAAAGTATGTGAAAAACAACATTTTTGAGATAGATATGAAATTCTGTATGAATTTAAATGTTAAAGTTGATGATTTTATAGAAACAATCACAAGTCTTTCTTGACTATTATTTTGAACATTTTTTTTTTTTAAAATTTTGCTTCTTTATTTATTTATTTTTTCCTCTCTCACACATACAGACAAAAAATTCATTTCTTTTCACCTTAACAAACAAGGAACTTTAATGCAAGAACTTTAACATTCATACACATGGAGAAAATTTAACATTGCTCTACAACCTTTGTCATGAGTAGTGTAGTCCCATAGAATAGAAAAATTGTCCTGAAGTCCAAAAGGATGAAATGATCACAACTTTTTTCCATATTTGAAAAGTAAAATTTTAATATTGTTCTTGACATACAAAATATATATTTAAAGAGAACATGAAAATAAAAATAAATTTTAATATTTTTTATATATAAAAACCTTTTTTTTTTTTTTTTACATGGGTTGATTCAAATGTTTTCAACAAATAAAACTTTCAAACAAATTTGAGCAGGACACTTTATTTAATCCATGGTTGTTTTTGTTCGGCTCTCCATACTATATTATTGCTAATCCAAACCCACTGAGTTTGTATTAATGAACCTTTTTTTTTCCCAATATACTATTGTTGTAAATAGAATGTCCAACATTTTCTAGACTATTGTCCAGTGGGACAATCCTAAATCTTACTTAATAAAAAATTACAAAATCGTCTCTTCTAAAAGATAAAATAAAAACACTTGTGCCTTGTATGATAAAACTAAGTTTAAACTTTCAGTATCATTCAAAATCCAGGTATCAAATATTTATTATTGGCACCTATGAGAAATTACAAAATCTGAGCCATCAACAAAAATGTTGATTTTCCAGACATCAAGGTCTGAAATTGATTTCAAACACAGAATTTATAATAGCCAACTTAAGGCAATAGAAAAATTTATGAATTGACTGACAGCTTCAACTGAAATTTTCCATAAATTATATATAAAAATGAATTTTGAAATGAAAAAAGCTTTCTTTATTTGATTTTTAATTGAAAGCTAAAGGATTTAAAATTTACTATTTCCAGTAAACAGAAATACTCTGTGGTGTATTTCAAACAGAAATTATATTGACCAGAATCGATTTGTTTTTAGTAAAAATCAATCAAAACCTGCCATTTTTGACACATTTGTAAGTAAATCTTAATTCTCGGTTTTAAAAATCTTTTTAAAATATATATTTCCGAAATGTTATTTGAGGAAAATTAGCAAATCTAAAGTTAAATTAATCCGATTTGAAACAAATATTACATACTTATAGCATAAATGTTGTATACAAATGTTTCTTAACTACAGGGTCTTGTTTTTCTGATTTGTTAATTGATTTATTGACACCTAACATGAACGCAAAATGTATTCATAAGTATGGTTGAGCAGACGATAAAGTTTATATTTTTTTTTTGAGGTGGGGGACAACCCTTAAAACATGTGACCTTTTAATTATCTGTTTGTACATTCATACTTCAGAAATTCTGCACATAATCACGAATACAAAATACAAAAACAAATCAAAATTCTTCTAAAAATATTCGGAGGTCGTCAGATTGTAATAAGCTTTAAAAAAATATATGATTTGTAAATATAGTTTTACTTAACAATATTTCCTAAAAAAAAATTATCACATTGAAAATGAATTTTGAAAGATTTAAAAACTTTATATTAACTTATTCAATTTAAAATTGTAAAAAAAAAAAAATATATAGAATAATAAATTTTTATAAAAATTCATTTTTCGTCGAAATTTTTTTTTTTTTTTTATTTTTCTTCAGATATTGTCTTTAGTTTAAAAGCTTCTCTCTTCTCTTTTAGTTTTGATTGCGTTTTTTTATTTTTCAATTCAGAACAGATTTTCGGTAAGGCCAGGTCCGATTTTGAAAATCATTTAAATTCTTCAAAGAATTCTGCTTTTAGTTTTATAGTCAATAAAAATTATTACATTGAATTTCTCAAGTTTTCATAAAATTAATATAATATATATATATAAAAAACATATTTTTAAAAAAACGTAAAAAAAAAAAAAAAGATTTACGAATAAGTCTTGAAAATTTCAATAAAACCCCATAATTACTTGATTTTTGCAAGAATTTCCAAATTAATGTCTGTCGCAGCAAAAAAAAAAAAAAGAGAGGCTAAAAATCTAAAACAAAAGTTAGTACAACCGCTGACGCAAGAAAAAAAAATTTAATAAAAATTTCGAATGTTTTTAAAAAAAAAAAAAAAAAAAATTAAAATTTTATTAAACTTTTAATTTACAAAGTTTAAATTCTTGATCCTTCCTCTTCGTCTTAAAGATTTTGACGAAAAAAACTGTTTCCATTACTTTTTTGGAGCATCTTTTTATCACGGTATGCTATTTTTTTTAGCGTTTTCGTGGAGGTAAGTGAAGTTTTAAACATTGTTTTCACACTCTCTCTATCACTATGAATAAATTCGTTGTTGGCAGTTTTTATAACGGTGACTGCTAGTTATCTTGTGGTTGAATGTTTACACAGTGTCCAGACATTGAAATTTATTTTAATATATTTTAGTTAGTGCATGGAGAGTTTTTAATGTCACTGTAAAACTAGCTAGATCGATCAAAAAAGAAAAAAAAAAGACAGACACCAGACAAAAACAGGATTATTGCAACCCTTATGTTGAACTGACGACACTAAAGAACTGATCTGCGAGAGAAAAAAAAAAAAAACATAAAAATTACTGTTTGTTTTTCTTAAATCTTCTAACAGGTTTGCAACGTTCAGATCAAAAGAAAAAGTCCACATTCTCAGTTACGATAAAAAAAAAACCGGTCTCCGCGGCATGTTACAAAAAAAAAAAAAAAAAAAAAATGAGCAAAAAAAAATGTAAAAAAAAACTTTCTGATAATCTCTCGTAGAGACGTTTTTACGAAATCAAACGAATGTAAAACTGATCTTTAGTTTTGAGAACTTTCTTTGAAATAAGGAATAATATTGGACCAAGGATTATCAAAGTGTAAAATTAGGAATAAGTAGTAACTTACTAGTCAATTTTAAAAATTTAAGTAAACTAAAAACACATTGGAAAACTTTCAACAATATTTGAGGCTTTAATATTTTTTTAACTATTTTTAATTTGCATCTTTTTTTTAATCAATAAACATTTATAGAGGTAGAAGAAAGAAATATAACTCAAATTTGTTCATAAAATAATTTAAGTTACTTAATTTAAATTACTATCGTGAATGACACAATAAAACTAAATTCAGAAAGTTTCAGGAAAAGGAAAGAAATCCGATAAAATGGCATTTACGAAATCAAGAAGTACGTGATCAGTTTTATCAAAGACTTCCAATCTTATTTACTAAAGGATAACTTATTTTAAGCCAAAATATCTAAATTTGATACTTGACACAAAAATGAAAACACAACACTTACCATTTTTGCAAACGTGTTTGCTTGTGAACAATGGAAGAAACAATTTGTGATTGGTTACTTGATGAAACTATCAACCAATCGAATTAAGTCTTTCTAGTCTATATCCGAAAACGGTGTCGGCAAAAAAATAATATTCATAAAAATAAAATTCCAAGTTCAGATTATCGGTTCAGTCTTTTAAATTAAAAATTAAGCTTTTAAAAGCTAAATAAATTTTAAAATTTGGAAGATAAAAAGACAACAAAATGAAGAACTTACTTTTTAAATAGTATTTATAATGAAAGTATTAATAAATGGTTAAAGTTTGAATTATTTCAGTTTGAAAAATAAAAGCCAACTTTGTCTTTTTTGTAATTATTTTAGAAAATATTTTCTGGAAATTCATATTTTATTAAATTTTATTTTATTTTTTTTGTAAGCAGAAGCTAATCTTTGCATTTTTTTTTTGTTATTTGGCATCTTGCTCTCAAACCACACAAAATAAACTAAACACAATTTCTAAAAAGACGTATATCCAGTTTAAATTCTAATTATAAAAATAAAATTGATTACAAACACGTTTCGTTATGGATTATTTCGTAAACAAACAAAAAACGAAATTAAATTATTTTCTACTTAATGTGAGAAATATACACACATCTTATTTTTTATTTTTATATTCAATAAAATTAAAATTCAATTGAATTGTTGAATTTTTGTTGAAGTTTGTTTGAATTTTATTGAATTGTTGTATTATGCCATCGATTCAATGATTCTTTCATATGCTATATAAAGATGTGGGCGATCATGGCTCTCTACAATTTCTCCTGTCTCTTAACTTATTTCTTTACTACTCGTTTGTTTCCATTTACTCAAAATTTGTTGAGCAGATGAATCGCTGTTTCCGCCCGGAAGTAGAATTATCTTAAGCAAAAAAAAAAAAAAAAGATGGCGGAAGGGTTTATGTAACGGGCGATATTGTGTTTGTGATTTTTCGCAATGGAAGTATCCAACAGCGATAAAAATAATAATCCAACCATCATCAGTGTCCTAGGGCCTTTAAGTTCTCAAGTAATGTCAGGACAAAAGATGAGGTAAGAAAAAGTTGTCATTTTCTTCGACTATCCATTTGAATGTTTTGAGAAACCGAAAAACTTGAATATTCTGATTTAAATGTTTTTTTTTTTGTGTTTTGTACAGAATGTAAAAGACAAAGATAAAAGAAAACGTTAATATCATAAAGACAAAACAATTAGTTATTTGGTGTCCTGAATCAAATCAACATTTATATTTTATAAAGACGTGTTAGGTCGTTGTGTCCTGTAAAAAAAGACTAGCTGTTTTTTTTTTGTTTTTTTACCGTTCTTTTTAAAATATTTTTATGTAGTTTTTTTTTAATAATCGTTTTATATTGCTTTAAAAGACAATGTTCAAAGCTTTATTTATGTCTTGAAGTTAAGCAGCTAAGAATAAGGCAAATATGTTGTTTCACCGGATTAAATAAATAAATTGTAAACGTTGACTGAATTTTTTAAAACTGCAACTTAATGATTTTTGCATTGATCTTTTTGTAAGATGTTAGTGGAAGTTGGTCTTTTCAACTTCAATACCAACATTTTACTACCATTAATTGAAAAGAACAGTGGTTTACTAAGCTGCTTAGCTAGCTACGCTGCAAGATAGCGTGTATTGAGCACCCAGTGAGGATACTGACTTATATACCTGATTGACTTAACAATTAGCAAAGATTACACATCGCGTCGAAGTGATGTGGCACAAGACTGCAATTATGGAGCACTCAAGGAAAAACTCTTAAAAATTCGAGTTGAGAACGACTAACTAAAATTTTTAGGTGCCTCTAAAAATTAAAATAAAATCACTTTCGACACGAGGAGGAAAATGATACCTCCTGCTTTTAAAAATTTAACAAATTCAAGGAATTATCAGATAATGAATGAACTTCAGATCGATTATCTTGTTTTTATTTCTAAGTTTGTTTTTTGGGGGGAGGAGGGGGGTTATGGAAGAATTTTTCGGGTCTGTTATAATACCACGTCCTATCATGTGGCGATCTGTAGTAGTGAATTTTCTGTTCCTAATTTTTAAACTAAAGCTAAAAATCTCAGCAGAAGGTTTTATGGATTTTCATTAAAAAATTAAAATTATAATCGAGTGTGAACACATTGATATCATGGTCTGAAATTTTAAAAATTCATAAAAACTCACTTATTTTTTATGGATAGTTGCTGAGTGAAAATATACTGTTTTTGTTTTTCCCCCACAGGAAAAAAATCTCTAGGTGTACTGTACTCACTGTGTAGTTTATCATTTTAAAAAAAATGTATTTTTGAAGTATGAATTTAAAATTCTTTCAGATATTGGTCGTTGTTGATAAAGTTGAAAACAAAATGTGTTTGAACAATCGAAAACTGTACAGAAATGTCTCTTTCAGTGAACTTTCTTTTTTTTACACAAGTATTTGATTTTTGTTTTATTTTTACGTATGATAAAAAAAATACAATTCTGAATTATATCCCTTGACATATAAATAAATAAGTCTTTTTCCCGAACACCAAAAATTATTAGTCGTTTTTACGGTCATATGTTCAAACACTGACTAATTCTTGTACAATCACCAAAGTTAACTTAAGCACCATCGAACCTAATCAGTACTAGATGGGTGACCACTTGGGAATACCAGGTGCTCTAAGCTTGGATGTGCGGGATGATGTAATGGATAATGGCTCAGAAATAATTGTTAATCAGAAAGCAGAGTTCCAATTCCATCGGGTTTGTTATATTCACTTATGTGCAAATACCCTCGGGAAAATGTATGACTCCACCTTTTCTCTCTTTCCCATTTATGGGTTGTAAGACTTGTATCACTAAAAAAACCATTATTATCTTTTAAAAAATCTTGCAATATAAATATATATATGTATTTTCTGGCTTTAAATAACTTGCAAATTGGTTGATAAGCTGTAGAAAACAAATTAATCAATCATCCAAAAATTATTGAAAGTCTTGTCTAATCAACTCATGCTGATAGTACTTTTGTCTAATAAATTTTTTTATGTCATTGTTAGAAATACAGTAAAAAAAAAATAAATTACTTGATTAAAATTGTAACTGACTGAAAAAATATTTTCACTAAGTTTTCTAATTTATGGAGAGGGTGTTGTAAAATTACAATTTAACATATTGACAGTTATACTCTGCTGGAGAAAATATATTTTTTGTTATATTTTTTTGAAAAAAGCTATTAAAAATAATTTTACAAAATCCAATTAATCCTTGACGTTACTATTTTCCCTTAAAACAAATATTTGGAAGAGAGGTTGAATTTTTAATAGATTTTTAAATTTCTCTTTTGTTGGTGTCCATTGAATTCACTAATTGAACTAGGCGGAAGTGAGTTTGTTTTTACTTTTGGTTTAAAGATATCTAAAATCTTTTATTTAAAGATCTAAAATAATTTTTTTAATAACTTTAAGCTATTAAATAAAATACAAATTTAAGTTAAAATAAGAGATTTAAATTATTTAAAATGCATTTTTTAACTTTTGCTTAGAAAGCTCTCAGTTGTACCCATAGTTTTTGGGTAAGATGACACCCATCTTTGGATTCACCTTGCTAATTGCAATGCTCAGTAATGAAAACTGACAACCAGGGTCAGAGGAAGACACAATATTGCTTAAATAAAAAAAAATTTATAAAAAATCAGTTTTCATAAACTTTGTCCTGTTACAAAGTGATGAAGAAATATTTAAAACTATTTTTGTATATAATACATAATCACTTCTGTAACTAAATGGAAGCAGGGAAGCATTATTTTCATGAAATGTTTCTTTTTAAACAAACTCTTAATGCACTTAATGCTTTTCAATCACATAGATTGGACATTATACAGTGAAAATTTCTAATCAAAATTCAACACCTTCATAATTCATATTTGAGGAGTTGTTTATTTGCTTTGCCTTTTTTTTGATAAAACTTCAGTGCGTGATACCTGAAAATTTAAAACATTGGGAATTTAATTCAACTATTGGATTTTGTTTTAAAATGTTATTTAATAGTAATGATAAATCTTTTTAAGAAATTTCCTCATAATAATTACAGAAAGAGTTTAATATGCACTATAATACCTATTTTTAATAGTTTGTATGAAGTCATCATTTTATGTTAACATGTTGATTTAGCTGTTAATTGTAGACAGATGAAAACAATAGGGGAATATTGTTTAATGTTGGAGGCTTTTAACGGGACTGTAGTCATAGACAAAAAGTAAAAAGAATATTGGAAATAAAAAAAAGAATTCTAACACATGGTAAAATGTTGATGTTTTTAGCAACTCTTCAGTTTCATTTATTTATTTATACTTTTTAGTCTTCAAAAGAAATATTCATCCTAAGAAGAATATTGAATAACATTAACAGAAATCTATGAAAATTTATCAAGTTAATATTTTTTTGATCATGTTAGAACTTTTTTGGTCATGTTCAAACTTTTTTTTTCATAATTATTCCACATCAACAAAATTTATTTCTTGGAATCAAACTAGAAAAAAAAAATAAAACCTTGAAAAAATGCTATAAACATTTTCTGTATAGTTAATTTTAATGTAGAAAAATGAATTCTACATTCTAAATTATAGTAATGATTACTATAAGAAAGGGAATTTTTTTTTTTTTTTTTTTTTTTTTAAGAAAGTTGTTGCTGGGTCATCTTTGGTATTTAAAATTCTTCATAAATATAAATGGGTTACTTATATACTTACAGATATTTTTTAATGAGAAACTTATTGCTACATCTTAGTTGCTAATGTTTTAATTCAAGGTTCATACTTTGTTGTTTTTAGGTTAATGCATGCAGCACTCTTATCCATACCAAGGTGATTTTATATAGTTCATGGATGAAAATGTTTCACATGAGTAGGAAGAACCAGCTTTTTCATTCATGCAAATTTATTGCATAGGCTATTCATTTTACTTACTTTTCTTGTAAATTCAGCTTACGGTCTTTAAATTTTATCTTCCACACTGCACTTTCTTGGAAGTCTACAAATTCCATTTCCAAGTTATTTAGAACATGGATAGCTAAAGATCATGAAATTAAAGAGTATGGGGGATTTGGATGAATTGTAAAGTGGTATCTCATTCTTGGAATTGAGAAAATCTCTCTGAAAATAAATGCTTGGCATTCTTTACTATTGAAGAATATATTTTAAATACAGCTTCTCTTTCCTGTACTGTCAGTTTATAAACTTGAAGCTAAGAGGCCCTTCTTTAATAATGAAAAATATTTCAGCTTCTTTTCTTCTGGATCTCTTTCAAAAGTTTTAATTTGCTCAAACATTGACACAAACTTCAATTACCTTGTAATTTTTTTATTCAAGTTATTGTAATGAAGTATGAAATCCACAAAAAAAAAAAACCTGTCATTCAACCATTTAATATCTGTTAGTTCTGGATAGTCATTTTCTTTTTTGCTTAAGAAAAGTCTTATACTCCACAAATTGATTTAACACTTGGCCACAGCTTAACCATTGTTGCACATGAGTAACCCAGAAAATTAACTGTTAACTTCATTCAATAGTGGGGTGAACTGACGTTTGTTAAGTGCATGAACAGCTATAGAATTTACATTTTTTCTTACAAAGGACATGCTGTTTTCTAGTAATTTCAAACTAGTTTCTGCACACACAGATTCTTGGTACAAAATGCAATGAAATTCAGTTAAATTGTGGTTCACTTTTTGTTTTAGTAATTGCACAAATCCAGTATTTTTTTTCTCATCATGCTTGGCACATAAAATATTTCCAAACTTAATGCCAAGTTCATTAAATTCCTTCTTCAATTCAGAATATCTTGCCCTAATTTCTCTGAAATTTTCATCAATATGATCAAGTCTTTTTTCATTATATTTTCAGAAGGGAATCTTGCAACAACTGCTAAACAAGCAATTGATATAATATCTATACTTTCATCCAAACAAATTAAAAACATACTTGCCTGTTTCAAATCTAGTACCCGCTAATCAGTGACATCTTTTGTCCATAGGAATTATTTCTTCTTTGATCATATTTCTGGCGACTGGCAACTCATTAATTCTTTTGAGGATCTCATTTTTATTTTAAAAGTCTTCAAACAAAAAATCTGAGCCGTTTAAAAAAAAAAAAAAAAAAAAAAAAGCCTCTTTTAAATAACAACCATCGGAGAGTGGCTTCTCATGCTTAGTGATAGTAGGGAATAACTGAAAACTGGCTGCAGAAATAGTGTTCTTGCTTTTTGGTTTAAACATCTTTTTGAAATTATTATATTGTTTCTATTACTTTAATTCTCTCCGATTAATTTCATTCCTTTCTTCGTCTCTCATTGAGTGTAAATTCTGATGGTTGCTTTCAAAATGGCACTTAATATTATATGAGCATGCAACAATTGACTCTTTGCATATACAGCACAAATCTTTTTTACTTTGCTCAATAACACCATAATTTTTCACTCTATTCTTTGTGAAAAAGCCTCCCCCCTTCTTTTCCATTTCATTGTAGCCATTCTTATAGGTTATTTTTACAGTCTAAAAAGAACTATCACAAATGAATTCAGAATAGTCACAAATTTTAAATTATGCAAGGAGACACTGAAAATAGATGAAACTATGACTGATAAAATGTAAAGAGAGACAATACCTTACCACATAAATGTACAAAACATTATAAATCTGGCTGAGTATCAACTAAATGTGTTTAGGTATACACAAGATACAAAGAAAAACTCAAAAAATCACTAAATTTGATTGGCTGAGCCATATTTTATGACATTATTTCACTGATTCCTTATGGGTCAGTTTATGACCTGCAGGTCAGTGGTTCACCAGCTCTGTTATAGTGTAAAATTTTACAAGGTATAAAAAGATAAGAAGCAGGCCATAGAGGGACCCCCCCCCCCAATATTAAGTTGGGATTGAATTTAGATTCTTTTTAACCATTTTTAACACCTGCAGCAAACAGGAAAATATATATTTTATGATATCTGTCTATATTTCTGAGATGAGGTATTGTAATTATTTACATGGAAGTGGCATGGCACATGGAACTAGAACAATCTACCCCAATGGATGAAATAAAGGATTAAGTTCAAAATTCCAATCAACTGAAGAAGGCTGAAGTGTACAATGGCCAAAACATAATGAATATGACAACAAAGATGAGGACAACAGTTTAAATAATGTAAATAGTGTAAATAATCTTTTTATATTTTAAGATAAAATTTATAAATACTGCTGCACAGATTCGTATGAAAAATAGTTTGATCCTTGAGATGTGATCTTTTCTCTTTTAGAAACTATTACAATGTCATTAATATAATTTCTATGTGAAGATCACAATTTTATTTATTATTTTTCTTTTTTAAAAGACACACATTTTTCTACTGTCACTTTAACACTTCATGTAAGACAAAAGAAATAGGGACAATGAAATTTAAACCATGACTCCCAAACTGTTAACTGTGATTTAAAGCTGTATTACTGTAAAGATCAATGTCAATGATAAATACATTGAGACATTTATACATTGTTGCATCTGATATGTGTATTGTGCACTAAAAACTGCAAGCAATAACTGAAATTAAACTGTTTTCATGATGGATTCTGAACAAGCCATAATCCTTTTTTTCTTTTTCTCTCTAGCCACAAAACATGGCGAGGCGTTTTAAAGAAGCTAAAAAGAAAGTTGAAACGAAGGAAAGCAGCTGAACAGGAAGAGCAAGAAAATCGTAAGTCAACAATAAATAAGATTCACAAATAAACTTTAGACAGTGAAATTTATGATGCTAAGTGATAGTTCTTCATCTTCAGACGTTTATATAACAGAGGAAAAGAATGAGTCACTGTGATGTGCATTTAGTATCACATCTTCCAACATGTCTTTTGTTAGATTAACAATTTCATGTGATATAAACTCAAATTATTGCAGTAAAACTCTTACAATTCACTCTTCCATTGTCACATAGTTACATTTACATAAAATTTCAGACAATCTTTAATTTTTGTGCCCACATTAAAATGCTGTCAGAAGGATGTTTTCTTTCCCTTGATGCTGCTATTATGTTAACTAGCTTCATTCTCTTAGCAATGTTTATTTTAAAAAGCTATGATGAGAATTATAATAAAACTCAAACATATGAAAGTGAATTTTATACATTTTCTTTGTTCTTCGAGAATTTACAAGAAAAATATTAAACACTTTTTATTTATTAGTGTTTATTTACAAGAATAATTTTATATTTACAACATTCTAAAAATGTAAACCAACTAATGCAATGATTATCATTTATCAGTTTATAAAGAAATAAATATTTGTTTTATAATTCATTGATATTTTCATAAAATGACTACAAACTTTGTTTTCATAGTTATTTATAAAATGGTAAATAATAAATATTGCATTGGAGATGGTTTAAATATTTTGATAATTTTTTTTAAACTTTTGAATAAAAAGATTTCTTTTCACATTTATTTCTCTATAAAATGGTAAATAATATATCTTTATAAAAGATAAATAATGAATATTGTATTTTGATTGCATATTTTTTATAATCTTGTAAATAAACCTTGTCAAAGGAGTGAAGGTAGTACAAAATAATAGTGGTGTCAAGGGAAAAACCGTCCTTTTGACATAGTTATTTTGTGGGCAGGAAGGTTAAAGTTTACCAAATTTCAATAATTTGTTTATTTATTGTTTGATTGCACAACTTGTGTAGTGATAAATCGGTTCACTATTTTCAACAATTTAACCAATTTTTTTTTCTATTTAACACCACACATGTATCTCTTTTAAAAGCCATTGTAATGGGTAAACGCAAACAAGATAGGTTGCATATTCTAAATCTAAAAGATCATTGTATCTTATTGGTTCAGACTTCATGAATTTAAGCATAGTACTAGATTGGTGCTTTTCAACCAGTGTTCCCCAGAACCCTAGGATTCCACAAAAGGTTGCTAGCACTTCCGTGATAAATAGGTTAATGCATTTTTGAGTAATTTTTGTTTAATTTTATATTTGTAATTTACTATACACTTACGGCATATTGATCATCCTTATGTGTCTCTTGTATTTTGAAATATTGAATCTTTTGCTGGAAATGCATTTTCCAACGATATTCTAGAATACAGAAGATATCTAGTGATTTTCCAAGCATAGCTTAGATGTGGCACAAGGCCGAAATTATGGGGCTCCCAGTGAGGATCAAACTCACTACTCAGTCGTAATTGTTCTAGCGAGACAAACTTGCTTGCTAACCATTACACCACCTTGAGGCGCCCAAAATAGTGATTTTCCAAGCGTAGCTTAGATGTGGCACAAGGCTGAAATTAGGGGGCACCCAGTAAGGATCAAACTCACTACTCAGTCGTAATTGTTCTAGTGAGCCAAACTTGCTAACCATTACACCGCCTCGAGGTGCCCAATACAGAAGATATCTAACGAAGACTGGAAGGTCCACAACTCAAACATTATAAGGAAACAAAAAAGACAAACAAATTAGTCAGAATCAACAAGACAATGATTTAAACACTTTTCAGCAATCATTCATTGTCACATAGTCTGAAAATTGTGAAAATTCTAAGTGCTTTCTTGTAATGATTTTCTGAAGAAAAAGGTCCTAGAATACTCCAATGTAGATACTATGATCTGCTTCCTACTTTCAGTTGTTTACCATGAGCCCTGTTCATTATCCAAAAAAAAAAGTAATATATATCAATGAATCAAAATAACTAGTTAAATGTTTCTCTTTAGCTTTAAAAGTACTTAGTTTGAAAATTTAAAAAATGATGTTTAATCCTGAAACTACAAGAATATGCCTAATAGACTGCTTGCTAGATTTTAAGAGAAAGATATGGCTATCACCCCCACTTTAATTCATAAGTACTCAAAGATGGCTGGAATATAATATGATCTTTTATTATCGACATTACAGGGTATATTAAACAAGAGTTCTTTCCCTTGACTAAATTAATTTTCTTGAATGGATCATAACGGAGGAATTTTTATTCCTTATTTGTCTATATTTATGAAATGAGGTATTGTAATTATTTACACTATTTAAATTATTCGTACTATTGTCATTTTTTTGTCATATTCACAACGTTTTTTGCCATTGTACACTACGCAGCCTTCTTCAAATGATTGGAATTTTGAACTGAACCCTTTATTTCATCCACCGGGATAGATTGTTCTATTTCCATGTGCCATGCCTCTTCTGGATGTCTCCGTTATCTCTAACTCAACTCTCAAAGTTTTTGTTCACCATTGCAGTAGCCAGGTATTAAACTCACAACACTTTGGGTCAAGCTACTGAATCCAACCAATGTATTTATGCACTGGGCCACACTTGCTACAGTGCACTAACCTCAAGGACACATGGCCTATTGAATAAAAGCATTGGTTGGATCCAGTGACTTGACCCAGAGAGTTGTGAGTTCAATACCTAGCTACTGCAGTGGTGAACAAAAACTTGGAGAGTTGAGTTAAAGGGAGATAACTGAGACATCCAGAAAAGGCATGGCACATGGAAGTAGAACAATCTACTCAGGTGGATATAATAAAGGGTTCTGTTCGAAATTCCAATCACCTGGTTATAGCATACAACTGCTGAAATGTCAGGAATATGGCTAAAAAGATGAGTACAACAGTCTGAAGAATGTAAATAGTGTAAATAATAATTTTTCCTTTTTATAAAGTAAATAAAGAAAACTAAGTTTTTTAATTTGTTTATTGTAAATTCCTTTATTATAAATCTCCTTGACTAAATTATTTTGAAATAAATAAAATGAAAAAACTAAAACTAATGTACCAAAACTTTCCTGTCAACTTTACACCTATTTGCTATGAGATATTTGTGTTCAGTGAAATCTGTCAGGAGACAAAAGTAACAGTTACTGAATTTTTTCCTCTTTTAAGGAATGATTTTGTTGTCTTAGTTTTGAATGGGGAGAAGCACTCTGCAAAATGTGAAAGATTTTCCTAAAATGATGTGCATTAATTTGCCAGTTATGCTTCTCCCTTTCATATTTGGTTATTGTCTTTCTAAAAATTCAGCTTCCTGCAATGGAGATGCATCTGAAGATGATGCAGTGAAACAGCATATTCAGGATAAAGAAATGCAACTACAATTAGTGGAACATGCTCGATGGTTGCAGCGAGAAAAGAAGGCTCATGAAGACTGGCTAAAGAAAAAATGGTTAGAAGAACAAGAAAAAAAGAGACAAGAAGAACAGGATGTAATTGTCTTTTTTTTTTTTCTTTTTTTTTTCATTTACTGTTTTGGTATAAAAGGCATGCAAACTCTGCTGTATAGAGAATAACTGATTAATCACTTTAACTAAGAAAATCCACTTACATCTTCTTTTATTCACAAAACAATTTTAAAATTACTTTCATTGATAAATTGACTTGTATAAACTTCATATATTGTGTAAGGGAGGAATACATTTTTATGACTTCAGCAGTCTACAAGTTCATATAACGAAACTTAAAGAATTGAAATGAATATATAAATTTGTATCAAAATCTCTTAATAACTTTTTCACAAGACTGTATAACCAAATTTATTTGCAAAATTTCTGTTACTGTAAGGATTTATAGTTTAGTTTTGAATGCTATTTTGACCTTCAAATTTGAATACTATCTTTAAACATTTTATCTTTTAAACATTTTATCTTTTAAACATTTTATCTTTTAAACATTTTATCTTTTAAACATTTTATCTTTTAAACATTTTATCTTTTAAACATTTTATCTTTTAAACATTTTATCTTTTAAACATTTTATCTTTTAAACATTTTATCTTTTAAACATTTTATCTTTTTAAACATTTTATCTTTTTAAACATTTTATCTTTTAAACATTTTATCTTTTAAACATTTTATCTTTTTAAACATTTTTATTTTTTAAACATTTTATCTTTTTTAAACATTTTATCTTTTAAACATTTTATCTTTTAAACATTTTATCTTTTTAAACATTTTATTTATTTTTAAACATTTTATCTTTTTAAATTTTATTCTTTAAATTTTATCTTTTAAACATTTTATCTTTTAAACATTTTATCTTTTTAAAACATCTTTTTATCTTTTTAAACATTTTATATTTTTTAAACATTTTATCTTTTAAACATTTTATCTTTTTAAACATTTATCTTTTTAAACATTTTATCTTTTAAACATTTTATCTTTTAAACATTTTATCTTTTAAACATTTTATCTTTTAAACATTTTATCTTTTAAACATTTTATCTTTTAAACATTTTATTTTTTTAAACATTTTATCTTTTAAACATTTTATCTTTTAAACATTTTATCTTTTAAACATTTTATCTTTTAAACATTTTATCTTTTAAACATTTTATCTTTAAAAAAACATTTTATCTTTTAAACATTTTATCTTTTAAACATTTTATCTTTTTAAACATTTTAAATTATTTTTATCTTTTAAACATTTTATCTTTTAAACATTTAAACATTTTATTTTAAACATTTTATCTTTTAAACATTTTATCTTTTAAACATTTTATCTTTTTAAACATTTTATCTTTTTTTTATCTTTTAAACATTTTTTTTAAACATTTTATCTTTTAAACATTTTATCTTTTAAACATTTTATCTTTTAAACATTTTATCTTTTAAACATTTTATCTTTTAAACATTTTATCTTTTTAAACATTTTATCTTTTAAACATTTTATCTTTTAAACATTTTATCTTTTAAACATTTTATCTTTTAAACATTTTATCATTTTTTTTAAACATTTTATCTTTTAAACATTTTAAAAAAACATTTTTTTTTTTAAACATTTATTTATTTTAAACATTTTATCTTTTAAAACATTTTATCTTTTAAACATTTTATCTTTTTAAACATTTTATCTTTTAAAAACATTTTATTTTTTTTAAACATTTTATCTTTTAAACATTTTATCTTTTAAACATTTTATCTTTTAAACATTTTATCTTTTTAAACATTTTATCTTTTAAACATTTTATCTTTTAAACATTTTTAAACATTTTTTTATTCTTTTAAACATTTTATCATTTTATTTTTTAAACATTTTATCTTTTAAACATTTTATCTTTTAAACATTTTATCTTTTAAACATTTTATCCTTTTTTTAAACATTTTATCTTTTTAAACATTTTATCTTTTAAACATTTTATCTTTTAAACATTTTATCTTTTAAACATTTTATCTTTTTAAACATTTTATCTTTTAAACATTTTATCTTTTAAACATTTTATCTTTTTAAACATTTTATCTTTTAAACATTTTATCTTTTAAACATTTTATCTTTTAAACATTTTTTTTTAAACATTTTATTTTTTAAACATTTTTATCTTTTAAACATTTTATCTTTTAAACATTTTATCTTTTTAAACATTTTATCTTTTAAACATTTTATCTTTTTAAACATTTTATCTTTTAAACATTTTATCTTTTAAACATTTTATCTTTTTAAACATTTTATCTTTTAAACATTTTATCTTTTAAACATTTTATCTTTTTAAACATTTTATTTTTTTAAACATTTTATCTTTTTAAACATTTTATCTTTTTAAACATTTTATCTTTTAAACATTTTATCTTTTTAAACATTTTATCTTTTAAACATTTTATCTTTTAAACATTTTATCTTTTAAACATTTTATCTTTTAAACATTTTATCTTTTTAAACATTTTATCTTTTAAACATTTTATCTTTTTAAACATTTTATCTTTTAAACATTTTATCTTTTAAACATTTTATCTTTTAAACATTTTATCTTTTAAACATTTTATCTTTTAAAATCTTTTTTAAACATTTTATCTTTTAAACATTTTATCTTTTAAACATTTTATCTTTTAAACATTTTATCTTTTAAACATTTTATCTTTTAAACATTTTATCTTTTAAACATTTTATCTTTTAAACATTTTATCTTTTAAACATTTTATCTTTTAAACATTTTATCTTTTTAAACATTTTATCTTTTAAACATTTTATCTTTTTAAACATTTTATCTTTTTAAACATTTTATTTTTTAAACATTTTATCTTTTAAACATTTATCTTTTAAACATTTTATCTTTTAAACATTTTATCTTTTAAACATTTTATCTTTTAAACATTTTATCTTTTAAACATTTTATCTTTTAAAAACATTTTTAAACATTTTATCTTTTTTAAACATTTTATCTTTTTAAACATTTTATCTTTTAAACATTTTATCTTTTAAGAAATTTTTATTTCTTTAAGTACACCAAAAAGGGTTTTTAATATTGTAACATAATTACAATGAAAGAGTTGTTTTGAGAAAATATAATTCCTTATGTAAATATATTGGGAAATTTATTTCAATTTAGCTGTTTGTGTAATTTCCAATGATTCATTTTCATTGCTGTGACGCATTTTTTTAAAAGGAATATTTGATAATCATATTTGATAGCAACAGGATTGATTTCTTCAGATCTCTTGAGTTGATGCATATTTTTTCATAGTCAAATGGGGATTTTTTTTTTTTTTTTTTTTAATTCTATTCAAGAAAGTATTAGTTTAAGTTGTGGAATTTATGCTAAAATACAAAAAATTACCTTCCTGAAAAAACAAAACAGAAAAAAAAAACACTTTTGTATTTTTTAAATCCCATTTTTTTCTATCAACAGAGAAGAATCAAAGAGGAATGGGAAGAGAGCCAAAGGAAGGAAAAGGAAGAGAAAGAAAAATTGGAAGCTGAAGAACAGAAGAAAAAGGAAGAACAGGTGATGTGGGAAGAATGGATAGCATTATATCCTCATAATAATATTTATTTCAATTTTCTTTTCCTCTATAGAAAAATAATATAGAATGGAGCAAGGGTTTTCTATCAGCATTTCTGGGTATAGAGGAAAAAATTGTCAGCCATTTTCTTAACCAATGATTAGGGTTCATCCCCATCTTTTGAAAGTTTTTCTTTCATAATATTTCAGCTGGTTTTGTTGCCAACTTTCTTACAGGTAAAATTTTGACTGGTGCAGAGTGAATTGCTTATACAATCTAATATATAAAGATTGTTTTTTGTATGTGTGTGTTTCCACTCAAAATTTTTAAAATTAATTAAATATAAAGTTGATTGTCCATGTATGTGCAAATGTAAATTTGGTTTTATCATAAATATCAGCATGTGTCTTATATCTTGCCCAACTTAGCAGTTCTTGCTTAACCTCTATCATACTGATTTCTTTTTAGAATTTTTGCTCTTTCTTTCACCTGACTATCATATTTGTCTCATTGACATGTTTTTGTTGATAAATAAAGTTATTATTTCATCGTTTATAAATAGACAAAATAATTCACCTTCAGAAAGACGATCAGGTATATCGATGGTCGCCAGTAGCTTCCATTAAATTATTCAGGCAGTGATGGTAGTAACCGCTAGTGGTTATCAGTGCATTCCTCCACATCATTAGTGCATCTTCAACCGCCATCAACATCCACTTGACTAGAGCCTTCAAAATCATCGTTGGAGTCCTAATCAATAAAAACTCCTGAATAAAGGCTTCATTGGATGTTGATGCGGCCATTTTTCTTTACAAAAAATTGTGAAAAAATCAACGTGGGTTTAATTGATGTTACACCTTATTCCAAAGCAGTAGTAGGTGATTTCCAGCTTAAAATACCGGAAATAACAGTTGACAAGTGTTTATTTACAGCAGCCATCTTAAGACAACAGAATGCACCTAGAGCAGCAAAGGGAGAGAATTCTACAGTGACTGTTTTTGCCTCCAGCATGGTAAATGTTAAATTAAATAAAATAATTTGTTATTCATTTTTTTAATCTATAAATAAGTTTTCTTCATGACTTTTATAATTACTTAATTGTTCTGATAAAACAATTTTCTGCCCTGACAATGGTAACCACCTTAGCATTTAAATCACAGTTTAGGAACTTTTAAAGTATATTTTGAAACTCTCACAAATATAAATTATATGTTTATTTATTTATTGTCACTGTAAAATGAAATTGGACAGCAGACCCCAGGTGCACCAACATATGCACGCACACACACACACACACACACACAAAAATTACTATTGAATGGAAAGTTATAGTGTTTAAAATATGTTGAAAATTGTCAGTGTTCAGCAACATTCAATTCACACAGTACTCAAGGATAAAAGCTATCCAACAAGCACTTTGTCTTTAAAATTTCATATGTGGCATGTTATAATATAACTACTTTAATTATAGAAATATCATTAACATCATTTCTGGGCATATGCAAATCTCTCAAACAACTGAACGCACAGTAATGCACTGGAGAGAGGATTCTACTGCACGATACCAGGTACAATTGCTGCTGATGGCTGGTTACACATTTCTAAGTTTGCCCATCTTCTAGGGTAGTTAGTTGATCCCTGTTGCAGATGCCTGCTCAGGCCCATTTGTGTTTCTTCAGAAACACAAACATGCTGTGGGTTATGCTTCAACGGTGCTGATCAGACCTTAGTTACAGTTTCTGGGAGAGGGAGGGAGCACACAATCTGGTGTGATAGTCAAACAAAACCAGTACACTCAAATCCTTGGTCATGATGACTTGTGGTTTTTTTTCTTTTTTTCTGGTTTGGATCAACCCATGCTATGGTTTTCAGGTACTTCCTAATGGTAACATATGCTAAGATGGTCTCTCCAGTTCTTGCCAAATTAACTATAGTGAGGTTTGAACCTGGCTCACATGATTGAAATACTAATGCTCTAATCAATCAGCTAATCACTTGCTCTTTTACATACACACACACACACACACACACACACACACAATAGCCTTGCTGTACTTTAACAATCACAAGCAGTAACATACACCAGATTAAACTCTCTCTCTCTCATATATATATATATATATATATATATATATATATATAATGGTCTTTTATTCCTTTCATGATAAACATAGGTATTTATTGAATGATAATTTTTTTTTCAATTATAAATATATCTTTGTTGAATATTTCATAGAAAATCTGATTTTAACTAAAAGAATATTACTATATACACTGAAATTAGTTTTATTGGAAAACTTGGTAAATATTTGACAAGCATTTTAAAAAATAAAAGTTGCATTCTCTGGGTGTTTTAAATTGCTTCTGCAATTATTTAAAATTACAATCAACAGATCTTAGCTTTATCTTTATTCTTATAAAAAGGAAAAAGAACTCATTAAAATTTAAAGTTTTCACTTTGATGTACAATTACAAAATTTCATAAATGCTGAAAATGCTGATTAACAGTGATTACTTTTTGATTTGATGCATACAAAAAATAGAATTTTCCCTTAAAAAATATAAGACAACAATAATAATAAAAATAAAAATTGTTGATGAGTTCAAATTTCACCAAAAACCATACCAGAAACTCTTTAACAGTTTTACTTTCAGTAAAATCTTAGTGCAATAAATGCACAAATTCTGATTGAGAAAAACATATAATTAAGAAATTCAAATTCTTTTTCTGTCTGAATTTCTAGGATGAAGAGTTATTATTTACATGCAGACTGTTGTTCTTATCTTTGTTATTGTTAAATGAGTGCAACAGTACTCATCAGCAGGCAGATTAGGCTTAAGGCTCCAAATTCTCCACTCAGGACTATCCCATGGGACAATAGCCGATCAGAGTAAAGCATCTTCAGTGTGTGTATGACAAGATTGCTTAAATAATCAATAGACAAATTTTCATAATTTCAAGGACATATGAACAACATCTGCATACAAGTCGGATTTGTCCTCTATGCTAATCTTCTAGCAAGAAGTGCAAGAGAAAAAATGGCTAACAGAACTTATGGTTACATCTAGCCATTTCATCTGTAAAATGATGAGACTTTGCTGCCAATGATTTAACCTGATTAAAATTTTGCTATGAACGTCAAAAATATTTCTTTCCTTAAATGAATATTTTCACCAAGACATTTTTATAAACAAAATATATATTTTAAAAAAAATTATCCATATTACTTATACTGCTATATATGCAATAAATTGTGGTAAATAATGTTTGATCCTAACATGAATGTTTTGGTGACAATGTTGACTTGTGTTATAAATATAACACTGTATAAGGGGGAAATTCTGTTTCAAAAGCTGCTTGGTAGTTCAAGGATTGTTGTCCATATTAGGTTCATTATCAATGTTATCTGCACTCTTGTAATCGACTCTGTTTCAGATTTGTCTTTATCAATTTATTCCTTAACTTTGACACAATCTGGATTTCATGGATCAAACCTCACTTGATGAACTGTATCTTTTTATTGTGTATGCTTTATTTTTTCCCCACTGAATTTTTTTTCAAAAATTGTTCAAATGATTATACTGATTTTTTTTTTTTTTTTTTTTTTTTTTTTTAAATTTACGGGCTATATTTTCAATCCTAAGCTTTTCAAACATTCCTTTCTAAACATTATTCAGGTATTTAGTTAATTTTAATTTTTAAGAAAAACCCTTGATTATAAATTCGTTTGTCGTTTTTATTAATTCTGAAACAAAAGCCACTGAATAAAAAGGGAAATTTCTTTTATATCTTGCTTTTTCCTGACATGTGTTGGATGTTCTATAAACATTATTGATCATTTTGGGAAGGGATGTAGACCCATTTGTTTACTCTCTAGATTTCAAGAGACTTACAAAAGCAATCAAAAGGGTGTTTAATAAGCTTTATACCCATGCATAATCAATTCTCATGTCATTGTAAGTAACACTGTTAATGCTTTAAAAATACAAAAGGAAATAATAAAACTATGTACATATTAGTATACTACAAATCATCTGTGTCCTATGACCAAGTAAGAATGAATTCAACAAAGCATTTTTATCTGTTACATAATTTTGCAAAAAATAACTGATATTAGATATTTGTAACTGCCTGTTCAAAAAAAAACACATCTACAAGAAAATATATTTGTTAATTTTATGTTAGCTTATGTTAGTTTGGGATAAGAATCTGGTGGAATGATAAATATATAAGAATTTGGAAAACGATCAACAAAACATGTCAAAATAAGTTTTCCAAATTGGCTTATATATTTACCATGTAAGCTTAGCTATTTTTATAGCTTTCCCAAGCTACAGAGATCTTTTTTAAGTTACACCCAAAATTCATTATTTTTATAAAAGTAAAAAATCAAGTGCATTGTTTATAAATTTTATTTATTTTAAATAAAATTTGTGTTTTGTAAGAATTTATTTATCAGCAGATTAACTTAATCCACAGAAGACAAGCTATCTTGATATTTACATAATCCTTTGAAGTAAAGCATGATATGACTCTTAAAAATATTTATCAAGAAATATGTCCTTGATTTTGAATTTAAAATGTCACTTCTGTATTTAAATGAAACCTTTCAGACATTTGCCAATTGAATGTTTGTGCATCCAAAATTCTACAATTATTTGCCTTAACTGCTGTTGCTTGAAGCTCTGAATGAAATTCTCTTTGAGAATTCTTATTGTCTTATATATTTGACCCTCGTTTGCCCTTCATAAGCTCCACCCGTTAATTTCTATTCTGAGAACCACATTCAATCATTGCAGGAAGCCTTACTGTCTGAGGCCACTGCAAATGAAAAGGCAACAAATGTGAGTACAATTATCCATTCATCTACTTTCTCTCTCATCAAAAGACGTGACACAGGTAGACATGTTTATTATATATTGTTGATGAAATTTGATTTATTAAAGCAGGATATAGTTACGTCTGACACTGAAATGTAGAGATTTATTCCTTTTCAATGAGTTTTTAGCCTCATCATTAAATTTAAAACAAATGCAGTTTTCACAAGAATATAACCACTTGTTTTAATTTTCTTATTTTTTCAATGACATTCTTAAGTATATTTAAGGTAATTGTTATTTGAAATTTTAAAATTAATTTTAAATTACATAAATCATTATTATGTATATATATATATATATATATATATATATATATATATATATATATTTTTTTTTTTTTTTTTTTTAAGGCTATTTCAGCTGTATAAGAATAATTGAATATTTTTGTTGCAAAAGGTTCCAAAACTTGATTTTTTTTTTTTTTTTTTTTTTTTTTTTTTTTTACATGATTCTCTGTTGGTTTATTGTTAGGGTCCCCAACCATGGCACAATCCCTTGGCTCCTCCTGGATATGGAAAAGAAGCTGAAGTTTGTTCGTTTTTCATGAAAACTGGTGCATGTCGATTTGGAGAACGGTGTGTAGACAAATTACATAACCAAATACAATTTCTTTTTCTCATTGATAATTATATCCCTTATTTTTCTTCAAATTGTAATTTTTTTTTTTATGAAAAATAGATGCTTTACAACAACATGGCGCATAAGAGTAGAGGGGAACAAGCAACATGAATGTCCATTAAGCATACAAAAGAAGTTGATGTTAGTTGGATTGGAAGGGAGTTTTCTATGAGTTACTTTTGGAGAACTAAATTCAATTACTGTTTCCAATTGCAACCAATTAAAATCATCAACTGAGGAAAAGTGTCTGGAATTGTTTAATATGGAAAAGGCTTAATATTCCATCAGAATAACCAATAAAAATTCTCATGGTTTGTCTGGTGAATTTTCACCATATTAGCAATAATATTGCACCTTCAGAATTACCATTTATTCTGGTCTGTATAAAATTCACTTAATAAAAAAGATTTCAGCTTCTTGAAAGACTGCAAAAGGCACATAGAACAGTTCTTTACCGAGAAAGATAGTTTTGAAAGGGTGTAACTATGTCTTTTAGTTTATAGATTCTCTTAAAAAAAATTTGGTAATGTTTAACCTTTGTGCCCACAAAAAAAACTGTGGGTCAAAAGGACAGTTATTCTCTTGACACTGCTATTACTGTATACACTTTTGACACCCTCGGCAATGTTTATTTACAATATTATAAAATATATATATGAATTACGTGACCTTTATTATTTACCTTTTATAAAGAAAGAAATTTGAATGAAATACCTTTATCCAAAAATTTATAAAAAATTACAAAATTATTAAAATATGTAAACCAGCTACAATGCAATATTTATTATTTACCATTTTATAAACAACTATGAAAATGTTTTGCTTTTCTTTTCTTTTTTCTTTTTTTCATCTAATAAAAACAGTGTTTCATATCTTTGATAATTCTCAAGAGTAAATAAAATGTATAAATCCACATTCATAAGTTTGGGGTTTATTAAAATTCTAATCATTTTTTTTTTTTTTTTTTTTTTTTTTAAAAAACAAACATTGCCAAGGGAGTCAAAAGTGTCTACAGTAATAGTGGTGTCAAGGGAATAACCGTCCTTTTGATATACTTTTTTTTTTTTTTTTTAGGCACAAAAGTTAAACATTGCCAAAACGTTAAAGGTTTTTCCAAAAATTATATGAATATATTTGATGATATATATCTCTTGCCTGGTCATTACGTGAGACCTAAGGTAAATCAAGGTAGTACATATATGCATTCTGTTTGCACAAATTCTGATGTTAAGTGCTGCTTAACACTACATTGTTTTACATTGATAAAATGCTCCCAAGTAGATGTGCACTTCCATACAGTGCATTTTTTGAATCTCTTGTAAACGGGCTGCCATGGATCTTGTTAATATTTTGTCAGTAACTTTTTTTGATCCTACCTAGGCCTCCAAATGTTATGCTTATAATATTATTTTTTTTTCAATTATTCAATTCTTATATTTACTTATATTGTCATATTCTTTAACAGATATCTTTTTATCTACTAGCATTGCCATATCTACAAGAAAACATTCTATTGTTTGTTTGTAGTCTTTAATCTCTGTATCTGGTCTGTTAACTTTTATATGTCTGTCAGTATGGGTGGTAAAGTTCCAAAGAATAATGACTTCAGTGACTGCTTCAGGATAATGATTTTTTTATTATTTAAAATGTCACTCTTGTATTTATAGTAAAACTTAACTTTATTTTTCTTTCCCCAGCTGTTCTCGGAGCCACCCAGAACCTGAAACCTGTCATACTTTGATGTTTCCAGGAATGTATACTCATATGATCTTGGATAAAAGTCAGGATGATTATGACACAGGTAATTTATGGTTTTTGTATTAAAGGGAAAAGAAAACTTAATTATCTCAATGTAACTTAGGTTGTTGATGTCAAGAGACAAAGTAAAATTTAATTATTAAATGATGGGGCAAATTAATAAAATTTAATTTTTAAAGTTCTTTTGATTTACTGTCTCAAAATAATCAAATAAAAATTATTTTACTTTAATTTGTTTTAAAAATAGGGCATGCTGAAAAGTTCTTAGCTAAACCAAGAAGAGATTTGAAGGAAAAAAAACATAGTTGCTCAGATTATGATAAATGGGTTAGGTTGAAAAATTTTCAGCACCCCTTTGTAATACAACCTCCTGCACAAATATTCAGGGAATTCAACCATGAAAGAAAATTAAGCTTAGTTTTTATCATCTCTTTTAAAATAGTACAATTGAGAATTTATGCAACCATTTTACAAAAAATGGATAGCAACAAAAGTGCTTTTACTATGGCAGATGTGTTACCTTCCTTAGTTCCACCAGTTCAGACCTTTACAGTGAGGGGGCCCACTATGCTATTGTCACGTCTGGTGTCAATCAATATCTATTGTACACGTCTTAATAATATGCATTTCTTCCTCCTTACATATCTCCCTTAGAGCAATCTTACTTAGTAACCCTCTACATTGAGTAGTTCTTGGGTCTTGTATAGTGTGAACAAACAGTAAATAAAAAGAATATCCTATCTTTGATATGTGTAAAAGCAAAATTATCTTTTTTCCATGAGAATTCAGTGCATTTCATTTAAAATTCTCTTGCAGATTTAACACTTGAATTTGAAGAAGGTGAAATTTATGATGATTTCAAGCAGTTCTATGAAGATGTTTTGCCAGAATTCAAGAGTGTTGGTCAAGTTATTCAGTTCAAAGTGTCCTGCAACTTTGAGCCGCATCTCCGGGGCAATGTCTATGTCCAATATAAAACGTGAGTAGCTTTGTATGCTTTAAAAAAAAAAAGATAATTTTTACGGTAAATATAAAAAGTATAACTTTTTAAAATTTTATTTCTAAAATGATCAGAATGTTTCTTTATGAAATTTTGTAAGCCAACAGGAAAATAATGATATTATAAAGAAATTTTAAACTCTCTTCCTGTCCTCCCTCAACATTTCAAATGTTAAGTGTGTATAATAAATATATATATATATATATATATATATATATATATATATATATATATATATGTTATTATTATTTGTGTGTGTATATATATATTAGATTTGGTCGGTTTGGCAATTTATGTTTCAGTATTGGGTTCTTTTTTTTTTTTTTTCCTTGATACCACAGTTTTCAATTTGGTTTTTGATTTAGTATTTTTGCTTTCTAAGGAAACCATTCATTTTCTTGTGTAATGATAGCGTTTCCAGTCGATATCTGATTTCATTTGAGATTGATAAATTTGCAACTTAGTCCATCCAAGCCCTAAATTCTTGTGTATTTATGGTCCAATCTTAAAAATATTCATATGGCTGGAAAGAAAATAAAATTATCTTTCTAAATATGTAATTTGTATGTGCTATTTCATTGAATTATTTTTTTTACAGAAAACAGTATTTTGCTTCAACCAGCCAAAAATGGAAAAAAAATTTTTTTTTTTTTTTTTTTCTCTTTTGAGACTAAATTTTACACATTACTTTTTTGCAAAATCAAAGTGATCAATCTTTATCAATATCTTTGAAATTGTATACTCAATTAGAAGACACCTTAAACTACAACCAGGAAGATGTTCATTTCTTTTCTGACTCATGGAAGCAAATTTCTTCAAAAATTATAAAGTAAGAAAAAGAAGAAAAAAAAGAGCAACTGATAGTAATAAATGTGTGGTAAAAGAACTTTCAAATTATTGAAACTACTGTCAGCCACTGACTAGTGGCTAAAAAAGAATAATTTATTTTTTACTTTGGGTTTTAAAAAAATGACTTGGAGCTTTGAAAATATCCACATTTTAAAACTGAGATTAAAACTTACTTTCTTTTTTTAATATCTAATTCTAAGTGTATTCGCTAGATAGAAACATAACTTTATTTGTAGAAAACACAATTTTACACTAGACACTCACATATCTGAAAATATACACATTTTAAAAGTGAAATTAAGAACTATTTAATAATTCTTAAGGATTTAGGTGAATTCCCTAGATAAAAAAACAAATTTATTTATAAAAACATTTTCATTCATTTTTCTTGTTTACAACTTTATTTTATGATTGGCATACTGGCTTAGAAAACAATCTTATTTTTATCCATACAAAAAATCCAACTTCATAAAATTTAACATTAAGATGAAACTAGCAAATATTTTTTTTTATTTTTACTCACTATTTTGTTAAATTAATTTTACCATTTTTTTTTTTTATTTTTGAACTGAAACAAATAGATTTCAGACACCATGTCATATTTCCTTTTTTAGTTCATTTCTTTTATAAACAAATAGATTTCACATTTATTTCCTAAAACTAGTCAGTTTAATGTTTTAACATATTTTTGTTCAATCATCTTCTCTTACTATGGTATATGTTGTAAAATTAAATTTTATTAACATCTGAAAGTCTTTTTCAATAGTGTTTCCTTGGATATGGTCACTCAGCACTTAAAAATAACAAACGATTTTGGTTTCATAAAAAATTTCAATGCAGTTTCACAGTGTGAAGGTGAAACCAAAATATTTTTAAAAATGGTATAGCATTCATTAATTTTTAAAAAATAAAGCGTTGAGTGGTCAATTGATAAAAATGGCCTGAGGATAATGTAACTTGGAAACCAAGGTAGCGGATTCAACTGATATAATTTTTAAAGGTGTGTGTGTGTGTGTGAGATGGCCTCTCTCATTGATTTCTACATTTGAGGATCTGACAACCTCCTTCAGTTTTTATGTTTGTGTTATATGTGGCACCTCAGTTCTGCTAGTGACTGCATGCAAGCCAACATTGTGCAACAGTGAGGCTTCAGGCTGGTTTGAATTTAGTTATCCTTCTCCTAGGCTGGTTGCCACCCAAGACTATAGGACCCATCTGCCCTGCTATTAACCCATAGCTAGGAAAAGAAATGGATTTGTACGTTTCCCAAAGGGTATTAATACACAAGTGAATGTAATGAATTTGACTGGAATTCGGACTTGGCTCTCTGTTTCCTCAATTCGAACTGCAATCCATCATGCCTGACAAATTTCATCATATATATATATATATATATATATATATATATATATATATACACTACTACTGTACTGTACTGATGCGGCATTCACCCTGGGCGGATTGAGCCGGCTTCTTCCTGTTATGAGAAGATTCTTGGGATAAATTACAGAAGTAGGGTACCCAGGCCTACTCGGTGTGTGTGTGTGTGTGTGTATATATATATATGAAAAAACTTCCAAATCATCAACAATGCATTTCAAAATATGTGGGCTTAGTGGAACAAGTTGTATTAGTTCTCAGAGTGGCTGCTCAATTGTAAACAAAATGGGTGTACAGTATATAAAATACAGTACATTAGCATGTGTGTGAGAAAGTAGCTGTGATTCATATATTGTTTTTGTTATTTTGATTAATATTTCTATATTAAGTATATATATTTATTTATGCCATATATACATGTTTATAGGATTTACATAATGATCATAACTACTGGCAGTTACTGTAGTGGCTTTATAACTCAAAAATTAATCCCTTCCTCTACAGACAATCAGCTTTAACTGACCGCCAATTCCCCCTCCCCCCTCCATTAGTCCATTGATGAGAGGTTTGTCTCTCTCTCTCTTATATATATATATATATATATATATATATATATATGCACACACAAAGTAAGAACCCAAATTTTTACAATGTTAAAAATGGTAATTTTAACATTTTCTAAATCTTGACAACAATTAATCTTGTATTTACTGAATTGAGTTTCTTTTCAGTTCAAAAAGAATTAAAATTGTTTTTATTTTTTTGTAAATTTTGTTTTTTTAATACCAGTGAGGATGAAGCTATGAAAGCCTATACCAAGTTTAACGGTCGTTGGTATGGTGGCAAACAACTTTCATGTCAAGTGGTGGAAATAAAACGATGGGTGGCTGCCATTTGTGGTAAGGGCCTATTTCTTACAATATTTTCTCATTTTCATTCTATAAAACTGATTTAAAACAAATTTCAGTTATCTTTATGATGTTGTCTGGTAAAGTTATGCATTTTATTTCTTTTCTATCCAAAATATATTAGTCAAAGTGTTTTAATCATTGGATGTTGATTTCTTCTGTATTTGTTGCTTGTTCTTTTACACAATATGTTGAGGGAAGATGCACATGTGTACTGCCCCTAAAGTGGAATTTGTCGACATTCTAAAAGGCACAAGGGTACCTAGTGAAAAAAACTTGAACTACATACTATATACTTGGTTTTGTTTTATTAAAAAAAATTCAGGTTACATCACAGCTATTTAACAAATGTCAAGCCTTAATATGACAATAAAAAAATGTTGCTTTCTTTTCATTAATTTATTATGAAACATATATACAAGGTTTGTCTGAAAAGTAACAGGACTGGGTTTCTTCTTTGATGTTAAAGTCATTGTCCACAGTGAGTTCTTGACACAGAACCAGAAGATCAATCAGCAAGTCTGCAAAGTGATCCTGCAGCATTTGCTTCGCTCAGTGCATTAGAAGAGACTAGAGTTGTAACTGGACAAATCATGACTGCTCCACCATGACAATGAACCTGTTCACAATACCCTGAGCATCTGGCAGAGAACATTGCTATACTGGAACAACCTGCCTGTTCACCTGATTTTACTTTGTTACATTTTTTTTTTCCCCCTCAAGCTGAAAGGGATTATCAAGAGTCTGTTTTGAAGGCATGTAGGCCATCAAGAGGCAGAGCTGAGCAGCATCCGAGAAGAATCCTGGAAAAGTGCATTAAACAAGAGGGGGATTACTTAAAAGAGGAAACCATGTTTAGAATTGAAATAAATTGTTTGTAACACCAGCTGGTTACTTTTCAGATGGAGCTCGTATTTAAAAATAGTAAATAGTAAATATTTGTCTTTATTTTTCCTTTGCTTAAAATACTTGAAAAGTTCAGTGAAAAGATAACAAGTTTCCAGTTTATAATTGAACAAACCTTTCTGATTACTTGTAGCATCTACCCAAAGAGAGGACAGATTTTTTTGTTTTGTTTGATTTTGAGAAACTGAAAAATAAAAACTACTGCATAGATTATTTTATTATCTTTTACAATCACTTGGATGTGCTTGTCATTTTAATGCCTGAGAAAGAGAAATCAGTATACCAAAATCAAATTTCATCCAAGCTTGTATTCACTTTCGCACTAATACTCTTGGTATGAATATGCCTCTTCTTCCACCAGCTATGAGTTAAATAGCAAGGCTTAATGGCCTGGAGGTGGCAACCAGTCTAGAAGGAAGATTTTGAATTCAAAATCAGCCTGAAGAGGGATGGGCTATATTTGCCTTATACACACCACTGCTGGGTATGGCTGCAGTACATGTGGTACCTTGCAACCTTAATGGCTCACAGGACTCACGACAACAATAGTTTAGTGTTTGGTACAATTCCACAAGTATAAAGATAGAATTTTATAAAGTCGCTTTATGTTTATATTCAAAAAGATGTTATAAATAATGAATATCTAATACCTTCTTTATTGTATTGAGCAGAATAAATCATGATTCGATTAGCTGTAATTAAATACTAAATGCATCAAGCAAAATACCCTCAGTGTGTCTCATCCTATAACCAAGATATGTTCTTGATACCAAGGAATGTTCATTTGGATTTAAACATAAAGGTTTTAGGAGCTATATATCCTTCTGTAAGCAGGAATGACTTCTAGGCCTGAATGTTATCAGCTTTTGATGAGAGATATATATATATATATATATATATAAAAACACAATGTTAATGATAAATTTTTTATTTTTTCTTGTCTGTTTTTATTGCAGTTATTAAATTTTGTATCCCAGCAAAAATATTTAGTTCCTATAAGTATGAATTTTTCATTATCAGATTAAAAACACATGCTTCTTGTTATATTGCATAATCTCAACTCAGTTTTGTGTGATCAAATTCATGAGTCTACTCCCCAAAAATTCTCTTTTTAATGTAGCTGCATTTTTTTTCTAAAAATGTCTCTTCCTATTTTTTTCAGGATTATATAATGAAAACAGGTGTCATAAAGGAAAGGCATGCAATTTTCTTCACGTTTTCCATAATCCAACTCGTGAATTCAACCGAGCTGATCGGGATTTTGATTCCCAAAATTATCGCCACCCTTCAAAGCGACACAGGAGGGAACATTCAGTAACGAGCCATCATAGTAGTAGTAGTAGTAGTAATAATCAAAAACATCGATCTTATCAAAAGAATCATTCAAGGTATTCGCCTTCAAGATCCAGATCCACATCTAGCCAATCCTTGTCTCGCAAAAAGAAAAGAAGAGATTCTTCTTTATCTCCAAATTACTCTCCTCAAGGAAAATCCTCAAAAAAGTCAAAGTCCAGGTCAAGATCAAGACGCAGGTTCCGATCAAGGTCAAGACATGGAACTCGGTCAAGATCAAATACAAGAAGTAGGTCAAGGTCACGAACTAGGTCACGATCTAAGTCACCACAGAGTTCAAAATTGTCATCCCACAAGAGTGAGAAATTTTCTCATCGATATCAAAGTTCAAAAGGACTAAAAAGAAGCAAGCCAAAGTTCAAAGGTCGTTCAAGAATATCTAAATCTCATTCTAAGTCACAATCTTCTAAGTCACCCACAAAATCACGTGGAAGATCATCATCATCATCGTCATCCTCCTCATCATCATCACCTTCTTCTTCAACTTAACCTTCTTAGAACTTAATTATTTTGAACAAAATTTCAAAAATGTATCATTTGCAAAATAAACATTTTGTATCAAAGTTTTCACTTGAACTCAAATTTAAGGTTTTTAATGTTATTAAAAGTATCAAACTAGACTGTTATGTCATTATGTAAATGGTGGACACAAAGTTTAGTGTAAAAAGAAAAGCAAAATTATTTGTCAAATCTTTTTGAGAATATCATTTTGGAGAAAAGAAGAAAAAATCCTGAACACAGTTGTTTTTTGTATTTCACTATTTTACCTGGTTTGATTGATATCCTTTTCATTTTTCATCACCATAAACCTTATTTTTAGTGTGTACACGTTTTGAGTTTCCATCTCGCTTACTATTTCAACACTGAAATTGATGTCAACCAGCCTAGAAATCAAGAAGTCCTTATTAATGGAAAATATGCTTCCCAACAAGAATAAATGTATTAACTTTTCCCATCAGGAAAACCACTCCTTTAGCTGAAGTGTGCCTTACCAATTAGGCTACAGGAAACTATAAGATAAAGCTCAGTTACCTACTGATGGAAGAAACAGATGCTTTTGACTTTGATCTTGGTGACTACTTTCATATTTCATCTGTACCTTGAAAAATAAGAAAGAATATTTACAAAAATTGTAAGACATTTTTTTGGTTTTTAGTACACATGAAGTTGACTTTAAACCATTGTCAACAAAAGAATTTATCATAATTCCTCAACAGTCAAGTAATCTTGCAGAAACAATTTATTTTTTTCTTCATTGGATTTGTTTTTGCTATTATTTTATATTTTGAACATGTTAATTACGATTTCTGTCAACATTTAACCTGTGAGAAATATTCACATCAAATTTTTTGCCCATGATATTTGGTAAGCAAAAGTCAATTTTACTAATATACAACTAAATTCCTTAAACAGTTTGGAAAATTCTTTTAATTAATATTCAAAAACACTATACATTACAAAATGAGATTTTTAATTCTTTCATTTTTCTCAACTGTCAAAAAGAATATACTGCCATGTATAATGTACACACTTGAATGTATGAATGTTTGTAGTCCTTGAGTAATTTTCAACCTTACAATTTACCCAAATGACAAGGGTGAGACAATTTTAAAAAATTGTTCCAATGAGCAAGAAAACTTTTAATGCTTAGAATTCTTTTTTAGAATTACTTCATCCAGAATTCTTTCCCTTCAGAAAAAGATGTGTATTGACTACAGTAGTGATGAAAAGTTATTGATTTCATTTTAATGTGGCTTACACTTAGGGTGGCTTTGTAAACCTCAAAAAAAGAAAATTATAATGCTCTCTTAATATACGTAAAATTATATAATTTAATGTACAGTGAGGTGAAACAAGTATTTGGACAGTAAAAAAAATGGATTTAAAATCATATATTGAAAGTAAAGCATTGTCTAAAGCACACAATATATTCGTAAAACAATTATAAATGCAAATAAACAGAAAAAATAAATTATTTGACACGTATATATATTTTATATACAAATTGTTAAAACAGTGAAAAAAGTATTTGGACAGAATATAAATTATGCTTTAAATGTGTTTAATATTTAGTTGGACCTCCTTCATTTGCAACCACAGCTCTGTCTGTTTCTGTAGCTCTCTACAAGCGCCTGGCCACAGCTGTTTGAGGCTTCCTACAGACCCACTGAACTTAAATAAAGTCAATTCAGGTTTCCTATGGTAAAATTTTTTCTTTCCCAAGTATAAAAAAATCATCACAAAAATAGCAAAAGTCATTTTGTCACAGCTTATTTTCTCTCAAAATATGGGTTTTCATACTTTTTAGGGGTAAAATATTGAAAATGACTGTTTTATCATCATCTAAACTAATATCAAGGAAACTTTTGATCTGAACCCCATGAAACTAGGTATTTTCTGAAAGCAAAAGATATATTCTTTCATTTAAAAGTAAAATTAGCTGGTGTAAATGACTCAAAATTTTTTTCAGTGGGTAAAATGTGAAAAAATAGTGAAAATTTTGCATTTTTTTCTTGTTCTAAACAAATATTTCCCCCATTAATGGGAAATTAATCATTTTTTTTTTTTCTTTTTTTGAAAATCAGAAAGCCTAAATCATAATAAAACTATTTCAGGCATAAAATTGAGTTTTGAAGGAAATCAACATTCCTAGAGGTTCAAAATGCGACAAAATCCATTGGTAATTTTCAATTATATGACTGCCAAGGGTTAAAAAAATTGACACCTGGCCACGGAAATCTTTAGTAAAAGGCAAGAGATTTATCTGCAATTCCTAACCACCAGAAACCAAAGTTTTTTTTTTTCAAAAAAAAAAATAGCGATAAGGAAAATAAACCTAATTGACTTTGACGTCTAGGTCAAAGGCCAGCCAGCCAGCCAACAATAAACGGACGGCAAACCTTAGAACAAGTTGTAATAAAACCCACCACTCCCAGATAAAAGCAAAGTGAAAAAAAAAAAAAGGGGTTCACAATTACTAGGGCTTCATACAACCTATGTTTGAACAATGGCTTGATGAGTTTACTTTTGTTTTGTTTTTAACACCCCGTGACCCGGGTGATGACAACAACACTTAGCAGCGGACATTGTGTTTTTTCGCCGCATATCTTTCCTATTTCCCATTGCCGGTCCATTTAGCCTTTCTTTTTATTCAATGATGTTCATGCCAAATGAAAGAGAAAGGAATGAATTTTGAATGATGTTATTTTGAAGCGAAAATAAATATTTTTTCATAAAAAAAAGGGGATTTTTCTCAGAAAATTGGGCATAATTTCTTAATGCTAACCGTCGAGTGACATTTTCCACAGCCAAATCGAAGATTAATTACCAGTGAATAATTCCATGTGCAAAAAATAGCTGTCTGGATCCTATAAGGTCGCCCTAAAAGGTCCAGAAGTTTACTAATTGATAGAAAACCTGTTGCGCATAATTGTATTTTTCACGGTCAGTTTGCATTATTTCATCTTGATATTACCATTTTCGGACAGCCAAGTCATCAAGGATTCAGGAAAACACTTTGGCATAGGTTTTCTTTAAGAACTTTACATTCTATGAGGTGTTTAAAATGTTACTAACGAATGAGATTTTTTGCCAAATATTTCGTTTACGCGCCATGTTGGATTTTCCTATATGACAAAAACAAGGGTTTTAAACAGCTGTGTGGCATGATTTGGTGGGAATTTTAGCCCACTCTTCTTCTGCAACAACTTTCAATACACTGAGGTTCTTTGGTCGCCTTTCACAAATCTGACTCTTCAGTGTTCTCCAAAGATTCTCTTTTTGGTTCATGTCCAGCAATTGGCTGGAAGATTTGCAAGTAGAGCGAGATTTTAATTGCTGTCGGAGAAGTTCAGAACTTCTGGTCCTCTTGCATACGTGAGTTCCTGCATTGCTGAGATCTTTTTGAAGTTCTCTCTGAGTCACAAAAGGGTTATTTTTTACTCGCCGTACTATTTTCCATGAATATTTTAGTGATATTTTGTGCAGTGCACCTGTTCTTGGGATATTTTCATGAGTACCGAAGGCTTTCCATTTCTTAATTATGTACCCAACAGTGCTCACAGGTAAACATAGGTCTTTAGAAATCTTATGATAGCTTTTTTTTTTCTTTATATGCAGAAATAATTTGATCTTTAAGATCTTTTGACAGCTCTCTTTGCTTTGGCATCCTGCAGTACTGTTAGTGCGACGTCTTAGGATGAACTGACAATCAAGATAGCTAACATCTTTAAATAATGCATGTTCTAGGCTATTCCATAAAATTCTAACACATTCGAGCATGAAATATACTCAAAACATTAATTTTAAACATAGTTTCGGAACTGTTCAAATACTTTTTTCACTACCTGGTTTAATAATTTGTATATAAAATATATATACGTGTCAAATAATTTATTTTTGCTGTTTATTTGCATTTATAATTGTTTTACGAAGATATTGTGAGCTTTAGACAATGCTTTTCTTTCAATATATGATTCTTAATCTCTTTTTTTTTTTTTTTTTTTTTTTTTTTTTTTTTTTTTACTGTCCAAATACTTGTTTCACCTCACTGTATATCAAATTGGACAGAATTCCTGCCCCTAAAGTACCATAATAACGGAATATCTCATTAGTAAATGGGGGCTTAGATCTGGTTGCTATTAGATTGCTTTTTATTCCTTACATTTAGTGTGGGCTGTTAGCTATTTTTACTTTTAATTTAAAAAAGCAAACTTTCTTGCATGTGACAATAGAATTAATTATATAGATAAACAATCCTCAATTACTCGTACAAAAGAAAATAACTAATGCAATTGCAAAATTACTTATTTTTGTTTTTTTTTTCTTTTTACAGGATGCATAAACATATTAGATTTTCTAATATTTGCTGAAAATTCCATGTGTAATAGAGTAACACAGCCTGATCTTATTAATAAATCTTCTAAATAGGTTTTCCACATTTTATATGAACTTGAATCAAAATATAAAATAGTTGTAGCTTTACTCACTAGTATTGCTTTGCCTCAAGTCAGTTTGTCAAGTGCACAAAGGCAATTTTATGATAAATCAGTGGAGCTTAAATACCATATGGAAGATCTCAAAATTATCCAGTTAAACTCTATGAAATCAAGCCATTGATCTGACACCATATGTGATGATGACTTTTTGATTGTGTTCACATTTTGTTAATATCTCACTCCTTTTATTTAATGAATTTGTTTGGCCCAGGAAAAGTGGCTATAAACAGTTTTTTTTTTTTTTTTCTTGACATAGCCTACAGTATACTGCACCTTATGAGCCAAATAAGTGAATGCTGTAGTAGAGAGTAGGCCATGACTATTTTATATCTTAATTAAAATTTTATTTTGCTTTTTTTTTTTTATATTATTTATTGACTGTTATTTGTTGTATTTGGAGTGGCAAAACCTGCTGCTTTCAATGCATGTGCCTATACTTTCATTCTTGAGTTATATGGATTGGAATCCAACAGAATAAAAGAATAAGGAACAAATAGGAAACCTTTATAAATGTAAAATGTTCCTCAGAACAAAATATGGAGGAGAAAAAGAAAATTGTTATTTTTAATTTTTGTGTTTGTTTTTTATTAGTTAAGCAAACCTCAGTCATCTGTCTTGTCAAACTGTGTATAATTCATTTGTATCATAATTTTGAATTCAGGTCGGAACTGCTTCTCAAAAGTTTTGGAAATTTGAACAGTGCACAAACTGGATGTAGTACAGACTTTACTACTTCCTTTATGAGTAATGCCTCTTTATGAACTTCCAGGCAAGTTGGGCAAATATAGTTTTGGAGTTAGATATTTTTCTAAGAATAGGTTGTAGTAGTTTCATTTATGTCCAATCAAAATTTTTTATTTAAAGGGACGTCAAATCTGTCACAATGTTGGCTTCAGTTTACTAAATTCTGCTACAATTAAATTTGGTGTCAATATTTCAGGACACATTTGATGATAATGTTATGAGAGTAACTCTTTGTTGTGGTAGTAAAACTTCAAAGATGGACAAACATTAACAACAATGAATGTTGTGAATGATAACAGACATGACTTTGAGGAGGGGGTGAAGTTCATGAAACAATTTATATAGAATGTTCATTATGCACATTTGGGGAAAATGTTTGAAATTTGAAAGACATTCTGCAGAACATTACTGAGGAATGATTAGAAAATCAGTCTGCAAGAAACCCTCCAAATCAAACCAATGCTGACCCTAAAAGCTTAAACATGAGTCTCTATGGTCATGAGCCTTCAATAATGCAAACAAAAATGTTTATTATAAGGTCACGTCATCTGCATGTCTTACATTGTCAAATATAAATACAGTATTAGCTAGTGGGATAGCCCAAGATGCAAGCTACAAATTGGAGACCCCAGTACATAAATTTAACTATCTGGGAAATATGACAGAAAATGTGATACTGAAATCAAAAGGTAGAATGCATTGGTGAAAGTTGCCTTCCAAAATCTGGACAAAATAAAAAACAAGATCTTGGTAGAAACAAATAAAAAAAAAAAAAGTGCTCAAATGCTATATAATCTCAATCCTTCTATATGGCAGTGAATACAGCACAATTTCCTTGAAGATGAAGATCTGAGGTAACACAAATATGATTCTTCAGAAAAATGTTGAATACCATGGATGGGGCATGTGAGCAATTATATTTTAAGGAAAATGGGAATTATACCAAAAATCAAACAAAAAAAATCAGTTGAAATTTCTGGGAACACATGAGAAAAGAATGCTTGAAGAATTTGAGATTCACAGGATATAGTGAAAATGAGAGAAAGAACACTACATAATGCACTTGTATAACTGAATAACAGAGTAAGGACTGGGAAAGATAGGGAATATTTATTGCTTAGAATTATGAAGGATATGAAATTGTGGACAGCCATCATCGCCCATGTCTTGAAGACATGGCACATAAAAGAACATCAAATTCGTATTGTATCTTGTTTTTGATATCCAAGGTATTTTTGCTCACAGTGAATTGATCCTCTCTCATCAAACTATAAACATCAGTTTTCACCACAAGGTTTTGAGGGTTACGTTAGGCTTAGAGAGAATATTTCGCAGCAATAGCCAGGCAAGTAGAACGACAAATCAAATGATGTTCCAATTTCCCACAATTCAACTGGTTTCCTGCAACT